AAAATAGCACAAATTGAATGTTGAAGGTAGATAAATCTATGTAGCGAGATGATATGTTAGTGACTTCAATTTTACCCACAATATTTAGTGCTCTGACTTAGAAAAATTTTGCACTAACAATCACTCAGGAGTCATGTTCATGAAATGGATCACTGTGGACAAACATGCAAAAATATCTCGGGTGCAAAACAACAATGATTTTAGGAAGTCATGCCACATTTAACGATAGAAAAACTACAGATGTATTAAAAAATTCAAGAAAGCAGAACTGAGATATGACAGAGAAGATGGAAAAAACTTACAGCTCATCTTTAGTGATGATTTTAATAATTAGAATTAGAGGCATTTTTTGAAGTTTTCACTGATTGATCAATTTTAATATTTTGGACTTTAATGAGTCATTTTTGACTTGGAAACAAGTTTTACTCCTTTCTCTTTCCCTGTCACTAATAGAAAAGTTTTCTAGAATTGGCCGTCTATAGGAGAAGGGACCTGAATATTTGTATTAAATTTTGAAACTTATTCAGACACAAAAAACTCACATAAATGTTAGATCAGACCAAAATTAAAACGATTTGAGATTTATAGTTTGAAAAACTAGGTTTCCAGGAACAGTCATTCAAAATTTGATCTGCCATATTGTAGACTCGAACATTGAAGGATCATAGAGCAATTTTAGGCTTTCTTTAAGCACTAAAATTAACTAAACTGCTTGCGACTCATTCTCCAAGTTACTAGAGAAGATTTTCTGTTGGTAACTTAAATTGGGATTTTTCAACCAGGCTTCTCTCTCTTAAGATACTCCTCTTTGTTTTGTGGTCCCTCCTCCTGTATATGGTCAAGAATTCAGTTAAAAATGTTTTAATAAGTTAAACGTTCGACAAACAACTTCTGCTTTTTCAGAACTTTCGGGGAAAAAGAGGGCAGTAAGCCTCTGATGATTTTTAAGTGAACAAACTTATCCTAAAACCAAATTAAAGAGAAAGAAAGACAACTTAAAGTTGGAAATCTTGTCTGCTGTTAGAAAAGATTACAAAAATTGTTAGCTCCCACATTAGAAAACGCATTTTGTCTGCGCTGTTTCAGTATTGCCATAAACATTTTATTTTTTTGTGGGAGAGCCGTTGCACAAATTTGTCTGATAATAGTGTCTTTCCTTACAAGTGTTAGGAAAAATCATTGGACATTTCAGGCGATTTCATGCAACAGTTCTCCTGGAAAAAATAAAATTTAATCAAGAAATACTGAAAAAGCACAATTTAGATATGTTATTTCCCGTGGGAGGTGGCATAATATCAAGAAGAAAATACTATTAGAGGCTCTGAAATGATATAAGATGCTTTTGAGAAAATCACTCCATATGGAAATGCACGGCAGACAGAATAACCGAGTTGTGATCAATGGTAGACACATTCTGATCATTTGCATTGTCAACAATAACAAAATCTAGGATTAAAAAATAAATCAAATTGATAAATCAAAGTCAATTCTGAAGTTTAAGAAGAAAAATACTCCTGGAAATTTCCTTGGCTTGAAATCTTTCTGCAAGTGACGAAAGTAGAACGTTTCAATACATGAGGGGGAGATTTTAGTGCGATTTCAAATCAGGAAAATTTCAAGGAGTATCTGAAGATTCCTGCTAAATAATCTAGCACTATGTTTAAAATTTGTGAACTTTAGATTTTTTAATTAAAATTTTTAGAGGCTAGAAATGCGTCTTATTGCACTTCAAGTACATCAAATTTACTAGAATTGAGCTGAACAGAATTAACTTTTTCGCACTATTTTCAAGGAAGCTTTGAAATTGAAAGGGTTTTTCAAAATAGTTAATCATCCATATAATCTAATTTCTTACACGGATCATCAAAATTAAAATTTTAACCTTCAAGTATTTATCCACGACCACAATGAGAGCACATGGATCTGATAAAACAACAACTTACTTGATGTAACTTGTAGGAAATCGAAGCTGAGTTTTATATCAAGCCATAAATTTATGAGTGGAAAAGATTATTGTTTTCAAAGGCAGGAAAATCATCACATAATTTAGTGTGTTTTGTTCATGAAATTTAACCTCAGAGATCAAGGATATTTGAGCAGCTTTAAAGAAATTGTATATTTAGATTACACTTATAAAAGTTAGTACTAAAAATCACACTACAAAATGCATCACTCATTTTGACAGTTCTTTCAAAACGAAAATGAAAAAACGAAAAAAGTTACACGATTAAGTGATGAATATTTAAATTTTATCTACCCATTAACCAATACATTGGTTTTGGTCCAATTTGTTCGCTACTAGTCAAAACTAATTGCATTTTCACTAGAATAGTTGTTTGAGCGAGCTCTAAAACTTTTATAATACTTCTATCATTAAAATTTGAGATAAGGCAACATCATAATTAATCGCTAGTGGTTTAATTTACACACGAGAAAAGAATCCAAGACAAATCAGGAGCTCAATATTGAAACCCCTATTTACAGTGGATTAAATTTAAAAGTGCGATATTGGAAATAGGGATATACAGTGATAAGGGAGATGCAAGGATTTTGAAGAGATGAATGCCTAATTGATAGATGTAGCGTTTATTTACACGCATAGATGATCAGATCCAAGATGTTGCGTTGGATCACACTGTCTTGGTAGAGTATTCTTCATTTCTCTGCTAAAGAGGAAATCTTTCATCAAGTCACAGATTTGTAAAGGATTTGGATAAAGAATACTTGTAGAATTTTACGAATTCCGCAGAGAGGAATTCTAGAGCAGGTAATAAGTCATTCAATCCATTTAAAAATGCTAAAAATTACTTTAGATTGTTGATTGTCAGAACTAACATAGAGGTCTGAAACTTTAAGTTGCTAAAAAAGTAAAATTTAAAAATAAGATTAGTAAGGTACTTGCAACAAGGGCCCTATCTTCCACAAATTGGAAGTTAGGTCCTTGGATGAAACTGAGTTAGAGTAAAAGATAGAGGAAGAGTTACGGTAACAGTCGAATTTTACTAAAGAACATTTCATACTCATGCAGCAAAATGCCCATTGAAAGAGACACAGGATCTAGAGGACACAAGCAAAGAGCTAAAGAATCTGACGTTTACGTAGAATGATCCCGGAGAGTAGACATTTCTTGACTTTGAAGGGGGAATAATGCGAGATAATGATATTAAAAAAACCAAAGGCTTCGTAAGGTGATACATAAAAACTTCTAATTTAGTATTCAACTTTTAGATTCTAAAAAAGAAAGGGGGGAGGAATTCAAGTACACAGGTTGCTGCAAAAAAACCAGTTAATTCTAAATCAGGATATCTTTCGGTATAAGAGAAAATAATCTCTGGTTTGTCTAGATTTTCCAGGAACAAAATGGCAGAAAAATCTCCAACGATGATGCTTTTGATTTACTGACATGCATTGATAAAAAGGAGTCATTTTTACTACTCAACACAAAGTTTCAAGTTTGCATTTTCTGATATCATCATTAGAGCCATCTGGAGGACTCAAAGGAAAAGGAAAAACTAAGCAAGATAACTAGAATTCTAATCTTTTTCATGAAAAATGAAAACCCCCGAAGCCTTCCGGTTACCCAGCCTTGAGGACACTTCGGAAATTTTATTCTGACTTTCCAGAATTTTGCCTCATTGATTCTGAGAAAGGTAAGGGGAAAAAACCAAACCAGAGATATGCAAAAAAAAATTGCCTCGAGGGATAACACACATAAAATCAGGCCGAGAAGAAACAAACATTTAAAGTTCCATGCGAGATTAATACAGTAAGGGGGAGGACTTTCTGGCATAACAAGCATAAGGGACTTCATGGATGCTCTTAAGCTAGGACCCACGAGAAGAAATGAGCATTGTTTCATAAAATGATTGAAAAGTTTTAAGTGTTAAGAATACAGGTGTGCCAGCGCTTTCCCTTGGGGCTGCTAGGTAGAGAGTGTGCTGTGGCTTTATCTTAAGATGGAGCAGGATTGAGTTTTGGAAAAACTCTCTCTTGTAATTTCAAAAAAATGAATGAAAATTTTATGATATTTAAAATTAAATGATGATACGCAATGATTGGAACAAAAGCTGCTTTTCCGTAAAGGCTGGCCTAGAAGCATTCAAGGAGGATGTTTCACGAAATTCACAACAAAAATCCCACAGCCATTAAAATCAATTCCGATAGATTTGAATGAATGAGAAATAATAAAATAATTGATTATTATTACCGAAGTTTATGTACAAAAGTCATAGAAAATCTGAAAGGAAGCCGTATGATATGAAAAAAGAAGGGAAATGACGGTGATGGCTGGGATAACCGACAAAACCGTAAAAAGCTGAAAGTTTGGGGGTGGAATGTGTTTTTAATTGCACATATTGGCAATACTTGGCTGCGATTTCTCCTTTAAAACTGTTGGTTTTTAATTGGCAGAATCGCCGATCAAAAAAGTACAGCAAAAGCTGCTACGAGTTGAACAAGGAGCAAAAATGTGGGATTGGACTACATACTTGTAAAAAATAACTCAGGGCAGGAAATACCTTAAGGCTTCAAAACCTTCAAATTGATAAGTGTCGAGAGCAGCTGATGAACTGAAGAAATTCAATTCATTTACAGAGATGAAAAAAAAATAATCGAAAAATTTTTAAGTTTTTTTTGCTGCCCGTATTTCCCTAGCCCTCCTGCCCCACAAACAAAAAAGGAAAAACTTGTATTAAATTGATGGTTTTTTTCCTCTTCTTTTGGTGGTAGGCAAAGGGATCAATCTTTCAGAGGCTGGAGAACTATTTACTTTTCATCATCAAATATCTCGAGAAAGACCACTGATGTGTTGACAAACCATTTTGACTACAGAAAAAAACATGAGTTTGATGAGGGCGAGATGACAAAATTTAGAGCCCTTATCAGAAACTCTCCGATTTGAGAAGACTGGAGCCGCCCTCGGTCACGTCATTGTAATATTCGCCTTGATGCGTTGTCGTAACGGTCATTGAGGTTTTGGGTGGATGATCCTCTTCACTCACCTGGCTTTGCGAGACGCTGTCCGGGATGGGTAACGGTTTGGCAACGCCGATTTTCACGACACCTTTTGGAGCACCTTTCAACGCTTGCACAGCCTGATCCAACGAGGCGTTCTCCAGATTGGTTGAGTTGACGCTCAGCAGCCGATCGCCCGGTATTAACCTGCCGTCCAATTGCGCCACGCCTCCAGGTACCAATGAACGGATCACGATTACACTCTCGCTTGGGTTCATCGGATCCTGAAAAAAACAGCAGAAAATTCATGAAGGGTGCAAATCAAATAATGCTATATTTAGCGTGCACACTTGCTCAGTTATACGACCTCACACCCTTGCTTTGCAAAAAAGTGGGCTCAACTATTTGCAACCGATTCTTGACACTGAACCGTTTTCAAATAAATCTTAAAATTTGATTTGTGGAGAAAAATGTCTCTATTATACAGAAAAAAAGGAGGAAAAAAACCTCTGTCCATAGAAACTGGACTTCTTTACCTCGAAAATCTCATATAAACAAAAATATAATATATTAATAAAATATGACACCTTTCCCCAATATTTTTCTGCTTACAGTAAGTTTTTCAGATTTGACAGGCACATCCTTGCCGATTGAATATTTACTGATATTCCATAGAATTTGAACTTAGAAAATAGAAAAAAGTACAGGCACTGGATCGGAAATCAACAATCACTCCAGCATCATTTGACTCTACCTCGGAGTGAAAGGTTGTTTCCTTTGGATTAAGATGTTATCAGGAAGATGCGAGAAAATTTGACATTTTTCCTTAGATACAAGGATACTCCTAATTTCTTTTGAGGGAGAAGAGAATTTCGCTAATTTATAGGATGCTCCTTATGAAAAACAAAATACAAACTGGTAATCTTACCTGGTAATCAAGGATAGAGAAACCAAGCCCTCGTTCGCCTTTCATAAGCTCAATAATATGTGGTTCTGAACTCCACATTGCAAGGCCAGTTAGTGGTTCCAATGAGCGACTCTTCAATTTCGAGAGACTGGGGTCGGTTGTTACTGTGGCTGATGATGCGAGTGAACCATCTGATTTTGCTTTTACGAGTCTATCCATCGCTGGAATCAAATTCTGCAAACTTCCACCCAGTAAACTCTGCAGAGATAGGAAACGCAACAATATTAAAATCTAAGTGGCAAGACATGGTGAAAACAAAGATCGAATGAACTGTTTGAAAAGCTTGGCACTTGAAATCCTAACTTCATAAAAATCTTCCTCATTAAATCATTTTCTGATGATTGAGATATTAGTACAATTAATTAATTTTTGCTATTTGATGCAAGAAGTTTGTGAAACGAAGATCCAAGCAGGCTGTTGACTAAGTTACTTACAAAAATGTAAAAATGTATCATGTGCTCCTATAATTTAACTTGTATTCAGTTGTAATGAGCTTTTTTAAAACTGGTTCATGAAATTTGAAAAGCAACTGAGTCCATTGAAAAAACATGTAAAAAATGTCCGATGAATTTTATTAAACAAGAGGAAAAAAGGATGCAGTTAAGAAAAAGCAAAAAGCAAGAAACGTACTCTGGCTGCAAAAGCGGCTCGGTCTTGTGATGTATCAATCAGACGATTTTCTCCTTTCCTTCTGGCGCAAACCATTCTGACATTAATCGGCAATTCCTTTAAGATGCTTACAACTTCTACATGATTCATTCCGAGCAACCTCTCACCATTAACCTGCGCAGGGAATAGGACAAACAATCAACATTAATGAGCAAAGTATAGATTCTGTAAAAATTCAGCAAGGGCCTTTCAATAAAATTAGAAGAGTTTTAAAAAAAAGTTCCTGGCTTATAAAACAAATTAAGTGCCCGCTTTCAGACAAAATTAAGCTATTTTTCAGTACATCTCTGCTGCTAACATCTGAACAATTGGACATTGGACTTGCAAAATGGCTACCTTTGCAAACTTTGCTCGACCTTTAATGATCACGCATGCGTGTAGTTACTTATTGCATAATTCTCACGGCTCAATTAATAAATACATTTAGTGAGATGCTTTTTTACCTAGTGACATAACTGTCTGCTTCCGCTGTATTCGGAATTTGCTGGAATACACTCTGCCCATTGTATTCCTAGACATCTCACAAAATCTGTAAGACACTGCTTCACGTCAAATTTTTTTGGTGAAAATTTGACTTAGAGGGCGGATGCTTAACTTGAATTTCCACTAAACTGAACTTGATTCAACTTGGCAGGGGTTGACTGCAATTGGAAATTTCCGAATTTTCAAGACCCGGTAAATACTCTGAAAAAAGAAATGATGAGATAGCGATACCTCCAGGAGCTCATCTCCAGATTTCAGTCTGCCGTTTCTTCCAACTGGCCCCTCCGGTAGAATTGAGCGGATGTAGTGGTGTGGTCTTACTTCTTGTCCGTCTTCCACATCCACAGTCCCTTCTAAACTGATGCCAAGACCGCCTCCTTCTCCGAACTTGCATAACTGTCCCACCTAACACGAGACACAAAATAAAAAATGTTTTAAGTGTCTCATTCCCTTATTAAAGAAAATAAGTAGGGCGAGTTGGAATAATTTTTCCGATATTCGATTCGAACTCGAACCTAGAAACCCCGAATAAGCGAATTATTCGATAACATTGACTAAACTTCTAATATCCAACAAAAAAGACGGAATATTCGTACATCCGGCCATATTGATGATGTACTAGTAAGAACTCGTTACGGCGCGCAGTTCAAACTACTTGTTTTGAGGTTAGGTAAACAAAGGCCAATGTTTCATGGGTTCATGCAGCGCACGGCACTCGCTTAAGATGGATCAATTCAAAATTTGCGCCACTTGAGTTCCACCTAATACGTCATCAACATGGCGTACAAATGGGCGAATGCACTAACCTCCATAACCTATCCTTCTCCGCCCTGCGCGGCACCCCGGTCTTTACAATGTTGCTAGACTGTCTTTACGAGATCAGCATTGATGTGGAGTAAAACTGAATAAAACGAAATTTTCGACAGTAAGAAGCAATTTTACAGTTCCACGACAGTTCAATCAACTAGTCGTCCTGAAAGGAAACAATTTTTTCTCCCTTCTTTTCTTTTCCCAGCAAATCAAAATGTTCGCAAAACCATTTGATAATAAATGAATTGATTAATTCTTATCTTTTTATCCATAATAGTAATTTCTTTAATTAAAATTTAAAAGTTAGAAAGAAAAAAAGTATTTATTCAATTTATTACTTCGACCAACATAGAGGTTGGTTTCGGTCAAAAATAGGTAAAAACTAAAAATATTCGACTCTGTTCGATTCGAATTCGAAACTTTTTCAAAATATTCGATTCGATTTGATTCGATTCGACATAAAAAAAAAACCACATTCGCACAGCCCTAATAAGAGAACATGGATGTGTCTTACAGTTATCTTTTTATACTCATCAGGAGAAAAAAATACCATTCTAAGTTGGAGTAGAGCCTCAATTTATCGGATTACAATTCAACAGATTGATCTTCCTATCCTATCAAGGGCTTCAAGCTCGACGGATTAATGAATTCTGCAACTCAATAGATCAATCTGTAGTCCTGTGAAATCCAATAAATCGAGGTCTTACTGTACCAATCTGAACTGGTCTTACTATCTTATCTATAATAATTTATTTGTGATGATTCATATTACATGCAATGCAAATGCGTGCAAATTTTATACATTTGGAAATTTTTTTTAAAATTGAGTCACCATGGTAACCAATTTTTTATTCAATCATGGTTGAGCCATTTCTTTAGACGTAGTACATCTTTGCGATATTGCTTCGATTTGTCAACTTGATGCAACATTTGGACTACATCTTGCACCAGGGAACTACGATTTTCAGCTTGATTCACAACAACAAATATGTCATTAGTTTCTCTCAGCAGATAGGTGCTTTTGTGGCTAAGCCAAAATTAGTAGTCCATTTGCAAAAGCCCCACTGAGATTTTTCCCCCAACAGTCTTCTGAATTTGTTCTCATTTTCCTGCAAAAATAATTGACAAACGGGTATATTTGCTTTCCTACAAATAATACGAGAGGTTACACAGCCTCTTTTTCATAATTTTTTGGAGTTTAAAACCAAAATTTAGAGAAAATAGACTCAACTGCGGGTGAAAAATTTCACATGAACTGACGTGGTTCCTGTACAATCTAGTTCAGGAAACTTACCACAATATCCACATCAGGCCCGAGTATTTTTGACCATTTTGCTTGAATAGCTGCTTCGACTGTTGGTTTTAGTGGACCTGAGTAATCATCATCGATAAGCATTTCGATACTTTCCAAATCTACATCTGCGTTGTTTGCTTCAAACAGGGCTATCGAGTCAACTGTGTCCTGCGACTCTCCTTCATGATCGATTTCACACGTTTCACCATCCTGGAGGCATAAAATTATTTTAGAACTGGCAGCCTCGAATTCAGTAACATTGTTCAGTTTGTTGCACTTTATTCAAACTTAGAAAACTGCTTACTGAGAAACCTGCCAAAACCATTGTGGTGTGAGATTTGATTCTAGTGGACTTCGGTTTTTCAGGCGAGTGGGAAATTAAAATTTTTTGTGACTAGTGCTGAATATAAACATTAGTATCTTGGTTGAGGGTTAATTTCAGTAATTTATACTATCCAAATGGTGTTCCACAGGGAATCTTTGGAAATTCAAATTATACTTGACTAGTGCTAAATAAGAACATTAATATCTTGGTTGCTAATTCAGTTGGTTCCAGTAATTTTCACTGCGCATGTTGTGTTCTACCTGGTATTTTGAATAGGAAACATGCATAAGAATGCTTAATTTTGAACCTTGTCTGCAGGCTGATTATTAACAATAACAGACAAAACGAAAGACAAAGATGACAGAAAGAAAATGAAGCAATTCTGATGATGAGAGTGGATGGTTGCAATGGATAGAAGAGGTGATAGACTGCTTAACAGAATCCAACGGGAAACCTACCGTTAGTCCATCATTTTCCCCCTCAATCTATGACAACCATCTGTTTCAACAAGAGGGATCACTCCATTTTCTCTTTGTTTTCTTTATCTAGCGCTTTGTCTATTAATTTCGATAATCAGCCTGCTGGTGGTTCAATACTAATAAAATTTTACAATCAACCCTGTGCGTTTATCTAGAAGGGTGGGAAAAATAAGTAAAAACTTGATAAGAGGCTTTGCGTTAATGATGATGAACAACCGGAAAAGAGATAGACAGAGCTGAACTTACGTTCATTATAGGGACTCTCGGTAAAGACAAGGCAGACGGGGACGGAGGAGTTGGCGCTTTGAGTTGGCTATTGGCTATTGCTTGTTGGAGTTGTTCGAATTTGGGTCCTCGTAGGTATCGCTCAAGACACAGTTTGACTGTCTGACCGGTTGATCGTAAGACTTCTACTGCTTGATGATTTGTGTAACCTTGCAACGATTTTCCATCCACCTGAAGAAAAGAAAGAATCAATTACATTGAAAGGAAAAAAGCGGTGAACAGGAGTTGGTAAAGTTAGTGATTGGAGCTCAAAATTATTTGAGCTTCCTTGCCTTACACGGCTAATAGTGATATTATCAATTTGGGAAATTTTTTTTTTTTTTTTTTTTTTTTAATGAGTGCGTGCATTTAGTATTTACGTTATCTTGATGAACAAAAATAATAAAAAACAAAATAAGATTTAATGCAATTTTTTTTTAAAAAATAATGCTTATTAGATTAAAACTACTAACTTCCTTTTTCTTTCAACATCTGATCCTTCAAAATAATCGCATAAAAAAGCATTTGTGAACGTTTTTTATGCTTCTGGTCACAGAAAAAATAGAAAAAAAAAAAAAAATTGATAGTTTTGCGAGAAAAATAAAACAAATTTAATTTCTTAATGGACAAAACTATCTTTGGATTAATTTCTTTGAACAGCTATCTCCCGCAAAATACTTCTGCTTACTTGTTTTTCCTTGAAATTTCATTTTTGAAACACTAGGTGGAATAAAGACTAGAAAAAATTAGGAAAATAAAATGACTAACTTCGACGATTCGATCGTTGACTTGAATCTTCTTGCAAAGATCAGCTGCACTTCCTTCACTGATACTTTTGACAAAAATCCCAGAAAGCTCCTCTGAAAAGTTGATGAAAACCACAACAAAGTTAAAAACAGGAATAAACAAGATCAAGTTTCAAAACTGTTCTAAATAGAAGTTAGACGATTATGTCACTGGCCAAAATAAGATATGACAAAAATTTTCTAAACTGTTCTGACTCATTTCAAATGGTTCAAGACGGGTCCTACTTCATTAGCGTTGGAATCGGCCAACACGTAAAAGTAAAAAATGTGAATAAAAATACTTAATTATGGCTGATGAAGGTCAAATCAGATAAAAGGGAAAAAGTTATGAAAATGTATTTTTACCACAGTAATTGGCCATTTTTCAAATTTATGTCAATTACGAATTGGAGATTTGTGACACAGAAAAGACAGATCATTTGATACTGAAAGAGGAAGTGGATTTTGATGAGGCTATTTTATTCATCCCTCACGAAATAACGTAACTGCATTTCAATGTTGCCAAATTTCTCCTAGCTTATGGCATATTTATCAGGTATTTTCAACTGAAGATTTTTCCTCTGATTTCATGCAAAAGTCAGAAAAATTTTGGATGAAAATTGCACCAGTACATTCTTTTAAAAAAACTGAATTGTTTGAGTGAATTTTGCAACCTTGGAATTCAGTTACATTCCTTCCTTCGAGAAATGCCAATTTTTCTTCTGTGTTTCTGTTGTAGCATACTTGGAATGGAATGAGAGTAATACAAAAAGACAATGAGTTCTCACCTTTCTCACATACATATCCAGCAATCGTGATTCCAAGGCCATGAACATCTTTCTTCAAAACAACTGTAAACTTCTCAGTGTCAGGCAGCGGCTGTAAGGACTCAGGCGGTATCATATCCATGGTCAGGACAGGGAGTGATGGGGCTACATCGACGATCAACCCCGTTTCCTACGAAGGATACATGCAGATTAGAATTTGGATCTAAGAAACAGTTTCCAGCTTAAATCCTAGGCTCACGGCTAGAAACAATCGTTCAAAACTAAAATTCTAGACTTCCCACAACTTTTTCAGTGTGTCTACTAAAATTTTATTTCGTATTTTCCTGATATTTCCCAGATTTTTCTTGATATCTTAAATTAAATTTCCTTAGTTTTTATGAGAATAAATTGAACCTCATTTGATTTTACAGACTACAATATTTGAATGAATTGAATCAAATATATCACTTCTGCTTATACTAAACGGCATGTAGTTGGAAAATGCTCGACACACTCGGAAATTCGGATTCCATGACCAATTTTCCAGATTTTCCCTAGGGAACCCAATTTTCTCAAATTTGCTTTTCCGTTTTTTACCGATGGTAGACTTTAGAGAGCTCTGTGGAATACAATCAAGTGTTTTCAAAACCATTTAGAAAATGTTCAGAATATTTTTAGAGGACTTGAATTTTTATTAAATGTATCCATGAATTGCTTGGAAAAGGAAACTTTTTCTTACCCTACCTGTTAAGAAAATTTTATTAGAAATATCAAGGAAATGAGAGGGTCTGGCTGAAGAAAACAATACGTACGCAAATGGCTGGCACTTTGAACTTTCAGCATCATTGCAACCAGAACCCGAATTTTTTGTCAAAAATAAATTTTGATGATCGAAGAGCTCAGAGGCTTTCGATAAAAATAAAGGTTACTTACATTAAGATCTAAATCGGATTCGAGTGGACTACTGAAGATGTTGTAGGGTTCAAGGATGTTTGATGTTGTACTATAACCGTTTTGGATGAGGTGCTTATCAAGTTCTTCTGCATCAGCCAATAGTTTAGTCGGGACGATGGGGGCGTGGGAACCTAGAGGATGGAGGTCAGTGGCAGCTGCATCCACTGGTCGGGCTACAATCAGACGCACATGGCTCCCTGCTTGACGTAAAACAGCTGCTACTTGTTCTCGGCCCATTCCGCGCAATGAAACACCACCTATTTGCAGAATATGATCTCCACTCTGTAGCCGGCCATCCTGGAAGGAAAAAAAATTTATTTTATTCAGCTTTTTTTGATAAACAGATTCTGACATGAACATAATTGAGGGTAGTAGAACAGTGCTAGATCCACATCATTCTGCAGGGAAATCGAAGCTAGAAAAAACTAGATTGGCTAGGACAGGGTTGCCACAAAATTTGAAAAATTGAATTCCCTGACAAATCCCTGACACATTTTGGTAAAATTTCCTGACAATTGAACAAATGCTAGATTGTCAAAAAGACACAGTTAGAAATAGTTTTCAGGCAAAATTTGTTGTTTGAAACATCAAATCCACTCGCGAGAGCAAATGAAGGTGATAAGACGATTTTCCCTGACATTTCCAGGTTTTCCTTGCCTTTTTAAAATTCCCTGACCAGGGTGCCTAGTTTTTTTCAATTTCGGGAAATCCTGATTTTTCCTGATTTCTGACTGCTAGATTCTGATTTCATAATTCTTCCAAATCCTGATTTTTTGCGGAGAAAAATTAAAATTTCTGCATAAGCATATGCGAAAGCATAAAAAAATCCGATCCGACAGTCGAACTTTCTCAAATCCTGATTTTACGACCGATTTTTCCTTAAATCCTGATGAAATCGGGATGAAACCCTGATTGACCTCAAATCCTGTTGAAATCGGGAAAATCGGGATAATCCTGATGCTAGACACCCTGCTGACATCCCCTGGTTTTCCCAATATTCCTCGACTGTAGCAACCGTACTAGGATGGTGATGTTTAAGTTTCTTAATAAAAAATTGCAATGTATTTTCTTTTTTTTTAAAAATTACCAAAACTTAATATGACATTACTGTAGACTGTGATAGACAGACTTGATTGAGTAGACAATGGTTTTTTGGCAAACAGAAAGTTTGAATTCACAAACTTGAAAATCACTGAGTTCTTAGATACGAGTTAGCTTGATAACTTACCCTTTCGGCAACACCTCCTCGGAGAATTGTTTTGACTACGACTCCTGTACTTCTCCCTCCAATTATTCCGAAGCCAAGCCCCGACCCATCATTGATCAGGTCGATAACTTCCACTTGAGCCCATTCAGTGTTTAACTACAGCAAGAAAAGAGAAAATTGACAGGATAAGTATCAACAGCCCCACAAAAAGTATTCCAATTAAAAGGATTTGATTATGATAGCCTGTCAAGATGATTCTTAAAAAATGTATACCACAAAGTAGACAACATTTTGAGTATATTCAAGTGTTGATTCCGCAAAACAACAACAAATGCACGCATAATGAGAGTTTTTATTTCAAAATATCACATACTTTCAAAAGTAATTTTCAAGAGAAAATTAGATTTTTTCATCAGTTTTGTCTGAAGTTCCGGTATTGAATCATCTGCGTACAAACGCCATTGAAACAGAAGCAGCTGACAACACCTCTCAAAACCTCAATAAATTCAGCTGCAATCCGTTTATAAGTTAATCTAATACAACTCTACCGACTCATGTGTTTTCTTGATTTCTCTTTTTTCCTAAGACGAGATGTCTCCTAGAATTTCATTTTGGATTTTCGGATTTACCCCGATATTTAAATGAAATTTCTTGATTTTTGGCGTGAATAATGTAAACTGACACTAGTTTGATTTTACAAAAAATCATATTTAATGAATTGAATAAAATGTCACACTTTTGCATCAGTGGAGAAGCGTGAATGATCAGTCTGTGTCACACTGTCAAAATACTCCGTCAAAATGTCAAGGTCAAGTGCTGTGATTGGTCCAAGTCATCAAATAAGCCAATCACAACACCTGACCTTGAAATTTTGATGGCTAGTTTTGATGGTGTGACACAGGCTATCGATTATCGATATTTCTTCGTTTGAGGCTTCGGTAAAAAAATCGAGTATTAAGGTGTTCGTTGCAAACACCCTGTTTATGGATCTTTTTTCATAGGTTTAAAGGGTAGATCACTTGATTTACCGAACGACACGACATGCCAGTGTTTTGTATAAGCCAAATTGCATGTAGGTAGTTGAAAAATGCTTGACTGAGGACTTCCTGATCCCTGAACAATTTTCCTCAATTTTCCTTATGACATCGAAGTCCCAAATATTTTCTGGTTGTGCCAGTTTTTACTGAAAGTATACGCCCTTCACAGTTACTTAAGAATCAAAGTATTATAGAGCACAAAAAAAGGTTGCAAGAAAAATCGAGTATCTTCAATTACAAGCACAAACCAGAATGATAAGGTCTCGGCATACGATCAAATTCCCGAACCTATTGCCATCCATGAGTCAGCAGTCATCGGTCCTAAAATCATTACTTACTTTTCTTTCAAATGAAAACTTAGCAGAAATGTGAAACTGAGGAGAAACTCAGCAGAAATGAAGACGCGTGGTTTAAAAGGGCAAATTCCGGACCTTCTGCGGAATTTTCGAACTTTTTTAGTACTTCCAACCGCCCTTTAAATAATTAGTACTAATTCCAGACTAGCAGACACCCTGGTTCCGTGCAGCAGGAAGTGATGAATAGTGGTACTACAAACTGATTGAGGTAGACGCACTCATACGACAGTATGTTGGAGTTTTTTGCCAACGTGCAAAAAACTCAGCATAAAGCTGAAACTCTCAGCTTTATGCTGAATTTTTTAACGCACGTTGGCAAAAAACTCCAACATACAATAGTGGTACTCCATTTTGATCAAAATTGGACGGGCGTCCAGTTTTAATTAAAGAAGACTTTTGCATGGTGACCGGAGTAAAAAAATGGTCTACTTTGATGGGAATTTGATCGAGGAAAGAGTCCTGAGCGGAAGATAAATTTGCCTCTTACCACCATGTCGGAGCCAGTCTCGCTCTTGTTGGACGGCGAAGGGGAGCGGGAGGGGGAGTTGAGGGGAGGGGGTGAGGGGGACTCAGTTCGTGCGACAACTAGCTCAACACGGCCCCTCGCCTTCTGGAGGATGCTGAATGCCTGCTGGTGAGAAATATTAGTATCCAGCGGCTGTCCATCGATCGCCAGGATTTGGTCGCCCTCGTGCAGCCGTCCATCTCTGGAACAAAAAAATAAACTTCATAGTTATACTTCTGCCGCTTTTTCTTATAGCACGTCAAAAATTTACGGAAAAATTAATAGGATTAAGCGACCAAGACAAATCTTAATTGGATGTGTCGAAAAAATACTATTGTATACAAAAGAGCTGCTCAGGGTTCCCAGCCAATTTTGGTAAAAAAAAAAAACCCTGACTTTTCCAGGTTTTCCAGGCCAAAATGAAAATTTTTCCAGGCCTTTTTCCGTGGAAAAAACTCAAATAATTTGCCCTAAAAGAGACAGCGCGCGCATTTTTCGGTTTTTGTAAAAACTCCTCTATTTTCATCAATTTTTGATCTGGTTCAGCTTTTTTTTTTATAAGAACCAGGCTGGGATAGTATCATAACACGAATGAAATCACAAAAAAACTTAAAATGTGTTGGAAAAAAAAAATTGGCGAAATATAAACGCCTTCTTAGACGATACATGCATTGGTGAAAGCAAATGATTTTTCAATTTGTTTCATTTACTCATAGTAGTATTGGATTTGAAAAATAAATCCCATCATGGTATTGCTGCTATGCTAAGGAAAAGAGCACTGAACAGATTCTTTTAAAAAATAATCCAACCTGCAGTCTTCGTTCTGCAGACTATTAAGAACTATTCTTAAAAAAACTGAGAAATGCATATATATTTTTTTAAATGAGCGTATTGTCCAGGGAAAAAAGGCGGAGTTACAAAAAAAATAACCTCTACCTTAGCATGCAGACATAGTTCTCAGCTAAGCGCAAGATATCCTAGTGAGTGTACTTGAAACTTTTACATTGAAGATTGAGGGTTACCCGATCGAAGAGNCTCCCACCATCGGGGGGTCTGGGGGGTATGGAATACCCCCCAGCTCAGGGGGGGGACTTCGGGGGGCCTCCCCCGGGAAATTTTTGAAATTTTAACTCTACTTGAGCGCATCTCGAGGCACTTGTGGCCTAATAATCACCCAGCTAATTTCTGCCTAAAAATCACCCAGTTTTATGCATTTTAAGGTTCCGGAAAATTTTTGAAATTTTAACTCTACTTGAGCGCATCTCGAGGCACTTGTGGCGCTAATCTTCCTTCAATTTCTGCCTAAAAATCACCCAGTTTTTTACATTTTAAGGTTAAAATACTTTGAAATTGTTGCATTCAACGGGTTTTTCTATTTATAGGCATCCTCTCACGGGCCACGGCGACAGAGACTTACCGTTGAAGAAGGTCTTTTTGCAACATCCAGAATTTCTGGGGGGGGGGGCAGATGATACTATTTCTAATTCTAGGGGGGGGGGCAGGCCCCCTCTTCCTACGCCTCTGTCGAAGAGGAGTGAAGAGGAGTGGCTAGCTCCTGCGATCTCTTTTTTCATTAGACGCAAGCGGTCGCACAAGATGCCCTCATCATTATGGCTGACCTGCAGTGGGAGCCACCGAACACTTCCGAGTAGTTACGATTCGTTCCGAATGCCGATAAAGAGGATGAGTTGACGGAAAATTCAATATACAACGAAGGAATTGCAATTCCAATATTAATTATTTTATTTTTATTTGTTTACTTATTAAATTTTTTTTTCTCAGTACTTGAAAAAATTCCAGACTTTTGGAGCAAATTCCCTGACTTTTCCATGTTTTCCAGGCCATTTTTTTCCCCCGACGTTTCCAGGTTTTGCAGGTTTTCCAGATCGCTGGGAACCCTGAATTTATGCCGTGAGCCCTGTAATGCGCATACACTTATGGGTCTCAGGACTCATGTTTTAATGCACATAGTTCCGTTCGGTAGAAATACGTTCATTTTGTCATTCCCTGGCGAATCCTACTTTTTCCCTGTCTTAGACAGCGGACCGCAGTCTTCAATAATCGGCCGTTTCAATCAATAGGATCGCTATATTTTTTCTTAGTCTTCTTTATCTTTAACTTTGTCGATCAATTGCAATGATCAGGCCATTGCCGGTCATATTTCTATAAAAAATCGAATTTCTTGATCAATTTTCCAACCTTGAAACGAGCTTACGTCCCTCCATTAAAGGATCGACGAATCAAGACATTATCACGCATCAAATCGTCGCTCCTCCGACGAAAAGACACATCTCAATTTCCACGTGAGCTTTATTTTCCATACAAATCCATGCTTCCAAGACTGATGCGGAAATTGTTGTACGCCCATACGTCAAAGGAGCGACGAAATGACGGTCGACGTCTATGACGATCTGGCAAGGCGGGAGCCGAGGATGCTGCGTACGAAATGAGGATGAGATGAATGGCTATAGGTGAAAGCATCTCTTTATCGAGGCGGTCATAGCATCGTGCATTCGAGGATTCGTGTTGGCGCAATGGAGAATTTGCAAGGGTCTGAAATTTGATGAATTTCCTGTTTAAGTGGAATCCTCTGAGTGAACTGAACACGAAGATACCCTTGATTCATAAATTGAGCGATTATTAGAGGAGATATGACAAAATAACCGATTCTGCTAAAATACATGTGTTTAAATGGGAAATGCCGCCAGATGACGTCACAAGGCGGCGCATTTTCTCACTTTTAAATCAATTTTTCTCCAATTTCCCATGTCAGAAAAAAATTATGAAAAATATTGCGAACTCAGCTCATTAGGCACTTTCAGACGAAGCAATAAAAAAATTGCGTGCAAATTCTCCATTGCCCTTTCGGGGAAATGCATCCTGATCATCTTGATTGAGACGCATCGGACGCTCGGGTCCGAGAGGATTTTACAAAGCACAATCCAGGCAACATGACAATAGCACATTAAATCTTAGTCTTAGTGTCTAATTCTGTCGTGCTAAGGAAGAACGCCGTATGCGCCTTCAGACGTTGCCAAGTTTCTTTTGACAAAAACCGGATTCACTGGAAAAAAAACACAGTGGATCTAGAGTCCAGACTCTTAAAAACATCGACAAGAAAAAGTCCTCTTGATTCAATTAGAATCCAGCTTAAATCAAGAACCAAGCCTCTTAATTTAAGCGGATTTAGTTTTCATTCAAGCTTAAATCTGATTGAATCAAAAGTATTTTTTCTTGTCAATGTTTTCAAGAGTCTGGACTCTAGATCCAATGTAGTTTTTTTTCCAGTGTTGGCTCAGTTGCGATGGTCACAGAATCATGTTTTGATGCTTGATTATTGCGGTTCACCTAAAATTAATAAGATCGGTTCAAGCAGCAACTTTCTACGTTCAATATTAACCGAGGTATCATCCTTTAAAAAGTCCGGTTTTTGACGTCATCCATCGCGGTAGTGACACCTTTGGTTTCTTCCACCTCGCTTTTATCAGTCAGTGATGCACCGCTTACTCAGCGTGATACTTGGATGAAAGCAAGGTGAATAAAACCAAGGGTGTCACCACCGCGATGGATGACATCAAAAACCAGACTTTTCAAAGGGCGATATCTCGGTTAATATTGAACGTAGCAAGTTGCTGTTTGGACGGATCTTATTATTTTTAGCTGATCTACTACAAGGATCATGCATAAAACCACGATTTTGTGACCAACGCGACTGACCTATTTACCGCGAAATACAGAATATTTTCCCCCGAAATTTTCAGACAATTTTGCACGCACTTTAATCTAAATATCGGTAATTTTAAAGGAAATATATGCATGGATGTCGTAAAAAATACAATCTTTAAAAATGGAAACTTGGCAGCTCTCGAATTTTAATGCGGCGTCGATTACAATCAAGAAATGCCTTGAAGGAGGAGTGGATTCTAGATTTTTCCTATGTGATTTATGTTGTTTTTGAGTCATTTAAACACTTGAATTCATATGTGATGCACCCGTGGCAAGGGTTCGTGACGACCCACAC